TACACGCTTCACGTGGCTCGTAGCAGTTAAAACTACCAAATCAAAGGAGGTCAATCGTCACCTCAAACTTTTGTTCGATACTTTCGGAAATCCAAAGACACTAGTTTCCGATCGCGGATCAGCTTTTACTTCAAATGAATTTCAACATTTTGTACAGTCGATGGGAATAACACATCGATTAGTGGCTGTAGCTTCACCATGGTCAAATGGAATAGTAGAGAGAGTCAATCGTTTTATTAAAACTTCTCTCAGAAAAATTGTCGAATCTCCAGACGACTGGAAAAAGTGCATACCAAGAACGCAATACATAATTAACAATACATGGCATAAAGGCATTAACAATACGCCATCAAAATTACTCTTTGGTTACGACCAACGGAATCACATGGATGCACCTCTTTCAGAATTCGTCAACGAATTAGCAAGGATAGATACAGATCTTGAGTTAGAAAGAAGTAAGGATCGAAATTTAGCTATCGAAACTAATGAAAAACTAAAACAATATAATAAACAGTACTTTGATAAACGGCATGTCACACCTACCGTTTACAAATTAAAAGATCTAGTGATGATCAGAAACTTACATGCTAAAGTAGGACAAAATTCTAAATTCGACCCTCCTTATAAAGGGCCGTATCAGGTAGCTAAAATACTGGATTTCGATCGATACTTGATTCAAGATGTACCAGGATTTAACCTGTCGGCAAAACCTTATACAGCGGTACTGTCGACCGACAAGTTGAAACCTTGGATACGCCCAGTATGCGAAACTGGCAGTTAGAGATAAAACTTAAAAAATAAGTAATTGTATTTCATAATTGAATAATGGTCTGAATTTTTATATTACATGTGTATACTTCTACGTCGTGCAACGATTGAATTGCAAATTAAATTTTTGGTTTTCTTTGGTTATAATTAATTATTTCAGGCGTAGATGTTAGCAGCGAAAAAAAAAAAAACAATTTATTCGAGGCCGAATAAAGCGCAGAATGGCCGAATGTAAGAAAGTTCCAGAATCACATCGAATATTCTAGAGCTTTCGACTTGGTTCTTCCTCCCGCGAGCTGCTGACATCTGTCACAGCGCTCTGTTGCTCCAGAGCGAATCGGAGCACGCGACGTCACCGCGCACGACACATGCGCAAGAGATCTCAAGAGAGAATAAAGGATCTCGGAGTACGTCTCACGGCACGAGATGTTCGGTAGATTTCGATATAGATTTAACTAATATTCGATCACCAAAAGAACTCCGTCATTAGTACGCGCAAGTACATTAATATTGTATCAATTTAGTTGTGTGTTAATAAAGTCAGTGATCGGGTTTATTATACCGTGACTGTTTATTACGAATTCCTAACAGATACTCCTTTATTACTCCTCTCAAGGATTTCCTGACAATTATATAAAGATCTCACAGTCTAAGAAGTGGAATCTTACATTATCATACTCAAATCTCACAATCTCAGAAGTAATACACGTCGCTTACCCCCTTTCAGGTTTGTCCCTCTTAACTATTTACAACATACATATAAGTGGTTTGGTTTGGTTTGGTTTGGTTTCACTGGATGTTGTTTCCTTGTTCACTAATATACCTATGGATTTGGCAACTAGTAGTGTTGTTAGGAGATGGGAG